TAAGCAGAGGCTTGACAACCATATGTCAGGAGTGCTCTGATGGTGTTTCCTGCTTGGCAGGGGGTTGGACTCGATGGCCCTTGTGGTCTATTCCAACTCTATGATTCTATGACTCAGTATTGTACCAGGAAGGGCCTGGGTGGTGGCAGCAAGAAATCAAGTGGTGGCACAGGGATCAATAGACGGTGAAACGTCCGGGGACCCTGTGTGATCGCCACAACCCTGTTGTCCTAGCCTTTAGTTTTCTTCCTTCCAGGATCATCAGGAGCGGGTCCAGGCGGCCAGATTAAGGTAAGTTCTGGCCTGATTGGAAGGGGCATGGCCCCTCTGCCAGGCTAGGCCACCATTTTGCAGCCTTTATTTTCTGGGCAGGCGCCCAGCTAGGCTGCAGGGGAGGCCTTTTTAGTTTTTACAGGGGGGGGCATGGCTCCTCCACCACCACAGGCCCCAGCGGGGCTTTTTTGTTTTTGCGGTGGTGGGGGGCTTGGCTCCCCCAGCGCCATGATCTGCTGGCACAAGGCACCTTGCCAGCCCAAGTGGGCGCTGGTTAGGCTGCAGGAGCGGCTGCCTTGCTTTTGTGGCAGCGGTGGGGGGGCATGGCTTTTTGTTTTGCAGCGGTGGGGGGCTTGGCTCCTCCACCGTAGCCATCCACCGCCCTCCAGCTGTAGGCCACATGGCAGCCGTTTCCTATTGGCGGCGGCGGGTGGGGTGGGGTGGAGAGCAGCCTCTGTAAATAATACATGTAAAAGTAAAGTGACCTATACTTTATTACTAAACGAATAGAACAATGTATGCAACAGGTTTAAAATGAATGAAATATGGAAAGGACGGGAGGCCAGAGGCTTTGGAAGAAAATTTAATGTTAGTGTGTTTGTACCGTATTATTCCGTCTATAGAATGTCCCCTTGTATAAGACACCCCCATTTTGGGGGACTCAATTTTAAGAAAATGAGGGGAGATGGCCCAAAGTTGTTAAGCCTCTCCCCCCATGCAGCTGCGCGCAAGAAACACTCCCTAGATCATTTCCCATGTGCAGCAGCATTGGGGAAGTGTCAGGGAAGTGTTAGGAGTTTCCAGTTTCCCAGAGGGAGAAAGCATTCCCCAAGGGGGGGAGGAGAGCAGTGAATCTAACAGAAGAGAGCAAGCGGAACAAGAGGGAGGGACCGGCTGTTCCCAGGAAAGGCCAGGCTTCAGTTCTAGCTCAGATTCGGAGGAGGAGAGATACAAGCCAGCTCTAGCCAGGAGGGTAGGAAAAAGAGAGGGAAAGCGAAGGGAAGGGCTCCTTCGCCATTTTGAGAGTGGCTGGTCATGGAGAAGCAGAGCTCAGAAGGTATCTGAAAGAAGTGACTCTGAGGAACAATAGTTAAGAACCGTTTATAAGATTGTTTTGTTAAAACGCAATAAAAAGTTATAAAAGAACAAGCGTCTGTGTGGTGATCTGAAGAGGACGACCAGTCCTGACAGGAAGTTGCGCTCCCGCCAGCCATCTGGGTGGCTAGAGCGCAATCGTCCCCCGGTGCTGCCACCGCACAGGGAGTGCCCGCCACGCGCAGCGGCATCAGGGAAGTTGTGCTCCCACCAACAAGCTGGCTGGCGGCGCACAGCTTCTCCCCCCACGCAGCTGCAGGCAGAGAAACACCTCCGCTCCAGATCACTCCCCACTCGTTGCAGTATCGGAGGAAGCCGTGCTCTTGTGGCTGGCTGGCAGCACGCTTCTCCCCCCCCCCCCCCATCCCACTATCCATGTACTGGATGACCCATTTTTTGAGTCAAAAAAGCTCGTCCAATACATGGAAAAGTATGGTGTTTTTTGTGACTTTGGATGATTTGGTTTATTGATAACAATGAATTTAAGTTTGTGTTGCACATATGCAAGTATAATAAAGCATAAAAAAGTTTGTTTGTTTTTTGAAAAAAAGAGCAGGAGGCAAAAGGCAGCACTGTCACGTCTGCCACCATATTATCTTTTCAAAACGGGGGCTTTCTTCATGATTAAACAATTAAAAGGGCAAGTCCAAAAGTTAAGCACCTTGGAGTATTGCTAAAATCCATCCCCTAGTCTGCAAGGAAGAGGTGGTGGCGAGGATAGTTATGTGTCAACCCTACAAGCAAGGGATGTAGGGCAACCAGCTCTGCTTCTTTTTGTTATGATGATGGTGCTCAAACACCAACAAAAAACCCATACACTCATGTCATTTGTTACAAAAATTTCAAAATAAATTCATACATTCCGACAACAAATCTTCTTACAGTACATCTGACCTCCCGTCGTCTCCATACTTCATTTGGGATTAACTAACTTGTTGCTTAAACCTATCAAATTCTTTCATAATAAAGTATTATTTCTCCTGTGTCCATATTTCTTACTTATTACAGCTCTGACTTCAGGGGCATCCACTCTGAAGGAGAGAGAGACATTTCTTTCCTTCTGTTCTTTCCCATGGTTTCATTCATTGAGCCAAAACCAGCCTTCCAGACTAGGAGGGGATTCATAGTCAAAAGAACCCATGATTGCATCAAATTAAAGATTCCCAAAGATGGAGGGGAATCAGCCCCTAAAGTCTGATACTCTGTATGCATAAGGGATGCATTTAAGGGCTGTAAGCAGGTTTGAAACCCGAATTGCAATATCCAATTGTAATAGTCGCATAATGGGACTGGGAATGCCCTTCCTGCTAGCACGATCTGAACCTTTAACCCAGCCATTGCACGGGCCTCTTGTTGCTGCCACACACCTAAAATCCATCCCCTAGTCTGCAAGGAAGAGGTGGTGGCAAGGATCGTTCTGTGCAAACCAGACACAGCAAGGGATGTAGGGCACCAGCTCTGTTTCAACAAGTGAGAAATGCCATATTGATTTCCATTCTGAAGGAGAGACATTCACTGAGCCAAGTTAAGGAACCAAACCAGCCTTTCAAACTAGGCAGTGGAGAGTATCCCAGTCACTTGACCTGCCCGACTGACTTCCAAGAGACTTCGACAGCCCTCTGTAAGGAGAGGGTGCGCTCAAACCTGTACGGCTTGGACAAGGGCTTTGGGTTCACTCTAGGAAATTGCAGCAGCAGCATCACTGGCAAAGGGAAGGCAAACCTCTGCTTGAGGTTGCAAAACCCCTCTACCGTAGGGTGGAAGAAGAGGCAAGGACTTTGGTCTACTCTGTGACGGAAGAATTGGTTCCTCAAGTGTTTCTTTTTACTTTTTTCTCCTGCCAGCAAATGGTTAGGAAGGAAATTAAGAAAGGAAAACTTCAGTTAATAAAGTGTTCAACCCACCAAAGGATTAATGGTTCGGACCGTGAGGAGTAATTTAGTGTGAAACCTATGTAAATTAAAACTCCCAAGGAAAAAGCAGTATTAAACCACGACAACAACAAATTAAGAAACGGACTCCGAAGACAAACCTAGATTAGTAAATTATTCCTTGAGAATAACAGTAACTTCAGCTTCGGGTTGATCTCGTGCCATCACAGTTGGGGTCTCTTCGTCGGAGACCTCGGTACATCAAAGGCGGGGAAAATTGCTCCAGCGTAGAGGACCCCCAGGAAAAACCTCAAATCGATCATTTTGAGGACATGGGATCTGGCGGGCATCAAAAGCGGGCTCCCCACTCCCTGGCAAGCTCTGTTTTGAGCACCGAGAGCGAGGGGGTTGGAGCTGCGGCGCAACAGATGGAACGCTTCCTTTGATGGTACGAAGCTGCGAGACTGAGGCATTAGTGGTCAATTCTTCCAACGCTAAAATCATTTAAGGACTGCACCGTGGGTACCTTTTACATTTGGATTAAAATTTGGAACAATCTGGACATGGGTAAGGGAACTGAAAAACGGAAGTCAGTCCCTACCTGCTGAGAGAATGAGAGAGCAGCAACGTTGCTGAAGCTAAGTGAAAAGATTCAGAGACTTAAACTTTCAAAGACTGAATCTATTAACCCCCCCCCCAAAAAAAAAGCAGGTCAAGGGGGGAAAAGAATTTAACATTACTGAAATACAGGCGTCAGCTGAGTGAGGACCCATTGCCTGCAGGTGTTCCACTCTCAGCCCCGTCAGGGGAAGGTGAGGTTGCTTCTGGGTCCAGTAACCTCCTAGCCTCTCCTGAGCTCAGGCTCAGGGAAGAGAGAACTAAGTTCTTGCAGGAGGAGTGCTCACCTCCAGGCCAGGAGAGGCGAGTCACCAGAGGATCGGGGCCACCCTATGCCTCAGGGCAGATAAAAGCCGGCCAGCCCCAGTCCCAAGTTGCGGAGCAACATTGTTGGTTGCTAGTTGCTGCCTGAACCCTGTCCTGCTCTTCTGCCAGAGTTCCTGACCTCACCCGACTCCCTGCCTTGGATCCCACTTCAGCTTTGACGGACAGCCTCCATACCGCACCCTCGACCTCGGACTGGGACCTCGCCGCACGGTTAACCCTCAGGACTAGCACAGAATGCTTGTTACTTTCGTTTCCTACTAGGATACTTTGAAGTTGCTGCAGAGGTCTGAACTGACACATACTTTTACCTTAAAGTAAAAACTGGCAACATATCTCTATCTGAATTGTTTGAGGAGTGAAAGGGGAAAATAAATAAGAAGGGCAGGTTGGAAAAATTGGGACTGTATTTTAATTGCCTTGACTTGCAAATTGGAGTTGCTGTCTGACGTCCAGCGTATTATTCCTGTTTTGAAATAAAAGTACCTCTGACCTTGGAAATCTGAGTTGCTAGCGGTGTTATGGCGGATGAATCTGGGGAAAAGGCACAAACAAGAAAACACTCTAAAGACCAGGCTTTCCATGAGCAAATACTGGCGTTTATGAAAGATAATACGCAGGGTTTGCAGAGTCTTGCAACAGAGGTCAGAGCTAATACGAATTGTCTCCAGGAATTTAAAAAGGATTTTGGAATCTTGCATAAAGACCTCCAAGAGGTTAAATCAGAAGTTGCAGGTTTACAGACAAGAGTATCAGAGATTGAAACAGTTAAAACTTTCGGATTTGGAAAAATCACAGGAGGAGACTCAAACGGCAATATCTGCCCTCCCTTCCCCACAGGTGGGCGGGGTTTGCAGCACCGAGCGAGGCTCACCTGGGTGGGTGCCACCCACCTGCTTGAGCTGGCCTTTGACCCGCCCTTGGCCAGGGAGGACAATGGACGGCCGGCCGGGGGTGGGCCTAAGGCCAAAAGAAAAGAGGCTGACCCTTTGGCTCAAGCCGCTTTTGCTGTTCTTCCTTCCAGGATCAATCCCTCTCGCATTAATTATGCAGTGAGTAAAATTAACAGAGCCATGCGCAACACCATGCGGCAAATTGGTGGGTTCTCTATCCCACATCCCACCATCACAGCAGATAGAGTTGACCTATTCCGGGGGGAATAAGGCTAAAAGAAAGGAGGCCGACTCCTGGGCTCAAGCCTCTTTTGCCGTTCTCCCTTCCAGGATCAGGATCAAGATCAGGAGCGTGTCCAGGCGGCTGGACTGAGGTAAGTAACCAGCCTTCTTTACTTATGCCCGGGGGCGGGGGGGATTAGTCCCTCCACCAAGCTAGGCCGCATTTTGGCATGCTCGGTTAGGCACGTTGCGGCCTTTTTTGGAGCTTTTCCCTGGCAGCAGCGGGGGGGGGGGGGGGGACACTGCAAAAGCAATAGTCTCCTGATACCAAGATGAGGAACCAACTGAAATACAGGAAAATATCTTTACTAAGAACAATGAACTGCTGTGGTATTGGGGGAAGCCTTAAAATATATATATATATATATATATATATATATATATATATATATATATATATTGGTTTTCTTTTCTCATAACAAATATTCAATATCATCACTTAGCATTCATTTTCCCTGTTGACTTTCCCCAACTTCCATTTCTGGTTTGTTACACCAAATGTTACACCCTGCTTTTTATACATAACGTTCTGTTATCGCCTGTTATATTTCTTGTTCTCTGTAAATAAACTTGTAAATGTTTATTTAAATCCTCCCAACGAATCCAAGTTGTTTTGTGGCAGAAGTCTTTATTTGTTGTTTTGTAGGTAGCTTTGTATGTAGTTCTGTGTTTTAATTTAAGAATTGTAAAATATTAGTCTAACAATGAATGATTTACTGTTATTAAAGTTATATATACGTGTATGTATATTTTTTCTCCTTTTCACTTTCAAACTTTTTTCTTCTATATTATATGTTTACTTTTCCTTATTTTTTATTCTTTTATTTACTTAATCTGTTTGATGACTAAGTTTTGTTCTAATTGTTTGTATGCAACATAATTCAATAAAATAAATAAAAGGTTTGGGAGCAAACGGACTGAAATAGCTCCTCAAACCCTTGTTCGGGGTCCCTCCCAACATCTGAACTGTGGGAATAATATTCCACTGTGTGGATTAAGGGTCTAGGATTTAATTTTGATGAAGGACTTGGCAGAAGGAAAAGTAGAAAAGGAAATTGCAATCTTTTTCTTTTTTAGATTAGTATGATTTTTACTTTATATTATGGAGAAAACTTTCAACAAAATCTAGCAAAAAAAGAGACCCCTCAATCTCTTGCTTTTCCAGCTACAGGCCTCAGAAAAGTCCCTGCACCCTCAATCGGCTCTTCCACCCTGGCTGCCTCTTCTGGCAGTGTGGTGCAAGGGTTAGACCGCTCTGCTAGGAAATGGATGAGAAACCAGAATGTCAGGGTACCGCTGATCTGGTAGTTGTGGGTCTGGCAAATAACGCATGTGCACAAGCTATATCCGGTGCTCCTCCGACCCGGAAGTGGGCAGCTGTGCAGCGCAGCACCAGTAAGAGCGGGCGGTGGCAGCGGAGGTTGCCACGGGCCGGATAAATGAGTCCCTCGGGCCATATCCGGTCCGCGGGCCTTAGTTTAGGGGACCAAAACCATTTCAACGCTAAGTGAGTTCATTGATGATCTAACAGACAAAATAGAACATTTGATTTCTCATTCTTTCATAGCAAAGTCAGTCTTCCTTCCTTAAAAATTTAGAATAAATCCTTCCATCACACACAGCCGTTATTCTACTAGATTTCAGTGAAAACTTTTCATTCTTGTTTCGCCTTCCTGGGCTTCATCAGTTGTAGATTGCCGTCACCTGTAACTAAAATCAATACTGCGCGTGTCTATATAACCTTACATTGCAACAGTTGTTGTTCACAACCACCATGTTGTAAGTTCCATTATCTTGATATACTACATACGGTATGTACACCTATGGTGCAATTGTTTACATTATTCTTATTTGTTTTACATGTTGAAATACAATATTATATTCATTTATATTATTTAGAACATGTACAAGTGATGAAGACCAGGAGGCATTATTCTGGAAATTCTTGTCAAGATTCTGTGGAACTGTAGTAAGCTCCCATTTGGATTTTATGAACATACAAAGACATATGTGGAACAGAAACTAGCAAATATTTGGACTCTATGAATGAACTGATCTATTGGGACTTCAGCTTACTTTGTTGTACTTTACGTGTTGATTATGTGCAAGAGAAATATTTGATACTGTGATAAATACAGAAGAGAATTGTTTATGTGAATGCACAGACGGTTACATTTTGTGTGTTTGTTGAATGTACTTTACGTAATGCTAGGTTTGATGTTGTTTTGCAAGTCATAAAACATAATGCATAATTTTAAATTATTTAATCTTTAACTTGCTAGGCTTTATAACCTTACTTGTCAGCATTTAAAGTTTCTGATCAAATTTTTTTTAATCATTTCACAATAGGCAATTTTCATAATTTTAAATACCCCCAAGCTAAAAGTCTGCACTTTCAAAAAAACACACACCCCTATAACCAGTATTATGTTAATTTTTAAGATGAACCACTTTGTTTCATTATTTTTTTCTATTTCAGCTATGGGTTGTAGGAAAGTTGTACCCAGTAGCAATTTCCCCCCCATGATGTTCAAAAAATGTAACATTTTCATTATGAGGAATAATTTTTTAAAAATCATTCTTTGTTGAGAAAGAGCATGTCTTTGCAATAATTTTCAACATCAAAAACTTTTGGTTCCATCATGCCCACAAACTGAAAATGCAGGTTTTCTAAACCTAGTTTTTCCACCCAAAAACCTAGGCTACAAGTACATTTATAATTTTTTTTTAGACATTTATAAAATCTTTTGAGTGTTGGTGTATTTTTTCCTGAAATCCTCATTTTATTGCGCTCTGTAAAATTTCAGAGATCTGATCATTGGCTATTGAGAAAAAAATTAAAATGTACACAAGGGTATCTTGTGCCGAAGGTCTCAAGAGGGACAGACAACATGGATTGAACGTAACTTTGAAGTGCTATAAAATTAAAACAATTTGAGATGGGGGGCGGGATTTAAGGGGGTTTCTTTCAACCATAAGGGAAGGGTTTACACCAAATTTCACCAACATCCAAGACTGAGGGTGACATGACCTCGTTGAAATGACGTGGAATGACTCCATGAGCGGTCGGTGTCCATATAGGAGAGCGTCGATCCCGCATGAGAAATCAAGTCATGGAGCTACCGTCACACAGATACAGACCTACTTTACACGTTCCTATGGGTTAGTCCGAGAAAATTTGGGATGAGGAGAGATCATGTCAAATTTTTGCACCAACAAGAAACTACTAGACATGTTTACCTAGTTAAATCCGTGCACCCGGGGGGGTTTGAACAAGGAATTATATTTCAGTTGTTTTATTTAATTGTTCTGACAAGATGGCTGATGTTTGTGTTCTCTATGCTAGATTTTTGGCACTGCATCTTTAAATTTCCTTGAATTGTATGTGATCCAGTGCACCTGTGGGTTGCTTTCGCAATGCTACTAGGGTTTGGCTAAGAGCACCAGCTTACCACACTTCTAAGTGATTGATGCTCCATGGCTATTTGATATACCTATGGGGACAATTTATTCGGTATGTATTATCGGTTGTGTATATGCAGGTCTGTCATTTCAATGATGTGGAATGACCCCCTGGTCACATCCATGTAATTGCAACCAATGTGATTTACAAAAAAAAATTAAAATACGCTAAGGGGGTCCTTAGGGGAAATGGAAAGCCAAGCTATATGGTAGCTGGAGTAGCTGCCAGGCTGGCAGCTAGGGGCTGCCCCTGCCGGCTGGCTCAGGTGTTGGGCTGGAAGGGAGTAGGAATGCCGTGTGGGCACTGCTGCTTGCTGCTGGGGGGTGGCAGCAGCAGAAAGGGATACCGATAAATGTCACCTTATATGTCTGCAGAGAATTGAGGGGGGCTCCAGAGATCGGGGTGGTCATGACTTGGACCACCACCCAACTTTATTTAGCCTCCTGAGGCTAAATCAAGATGCCTGGAATATTTGCCTGCCAGTTCTTCATAGTGGGAGAATAAAAATTATTTGTCAGGGATTTGTGAACCTGGATCTATGGAGGACAAGTGGCTACATAGGATCCAAGCTGGCAGATATTTGCCAGCAGGCCTGCAAGCTGGCCACCCACAAGTGGAGAAGTTGGAGAAATCCTCCTGATAGAGCGAATGTCTTATCTGCGGCAGCGTTTGGACTTGTGGCAGATATTAACTCTCCGTGTGGGATTCCTCTGCCAACAGAGAGAATCTGGCTCATTAGGCAGGAAGGAGGCAGGTCTCAGATTCAAGAAGACTTCAGGGGCATCCATTCTGAAGGAGAGAGAGAGAGAGAGCCTTTCTTTTCTTCTGTTCTTTCCCAAGGAACACGTGATAAAGTTCCAAGTTAAGAAAGCCAACCAGCCTGCATAACTAGGGGGTGGAGGGGGTGCACAGTCAAAAGAACCCATAGATGGCATGAAAAATTTCACCTGGAATATTGTTATCTGTTGAAACTGTCATTGTGGAGTAGGACGTCAATAATTAAAATGACCGTGCTACCAAAGATCTTATTCTTATTCCAAATCTTACCAATAATTAGTGGAGTCAAATGCTTCAAAGATTGGCAAAAAGATCTGGCTAAATTCATCTGGCAAGGTAAAAAACAGAATAAAATTTTAACTATAAATCAGAAATCAGACGGGAGGTTTTGCGGTCCTAGACCTCAAACAATACTATGAAGCAACAAGTTTTGTATTTGGCCCAAGTGTAGAATACATAATACCAGCTATTTAAAAAATCACTAAAATTTAAATTTGAGTTGCCAGAGCGGAGGGGGGGGTGGTAGTATTCCCACTCGTTTATACTATAATTATACCCCAGCCTCAGTCTCGAAAGTTTTTCATGTAGGGTCAACATGCAGGAGTTTAATTATGCGTATCTTGGCCATCGAAATATAGTAGATGACTGAGTTTTGGGTAGAATGGTGGGAGTGGACGATAGGCGTTGAGAAGAGGGTAGGCTTAAGTTCTATTTCTGCGTTAAGTAGGTGACTCCAATTTTTTGAATCGTGGAGTCTATTTCTATTCTGCAGAGGAATGAAGTTCGAGTACATCGTTTCCACTGCCACCTCAGGTCCTTTTGTTAATATGGTGCCGCGGGGGATTTTTACTTTAGGGAGGTATAATTTGTTGAGGTTTCTGGATATTTGACCCCTTAGGTACTGAATTTGGTAAATAGAGTTTTATTCTTTATTTTATATATTTCTGGATATGAGTGTGTGTTGAAACACATTGCCTCAGATTTAGCAATCTTCACTTGTTGGCCTGACACCACTGCAAAAGTGTTGAGTTCTTTGGCTAGGTGATTGCTGTATTAATAGGGTATGGTGTCGTGACCATTAGGCCTGCAAAGAGCCCTAGTTTATGTGTTTTACCTTTTATTTCCACTCCCTTGATATTAGGGGCTGCCCGGAGTTGGATCGCTAGAGGTCCTAGGGCCACGATGAATAGGAAGGGAGGCAGCAGCCTCCCGTTTGCGCCTCTTTGGATTGCTATAGTGTTAAGAGTCCATATTGTTACTGGTATTTGATTTATTTAGAAGTTATCAATGTATGTATTTGTTTACATATGGTCTCTCCCCAGAGTATTTATTAAGTTTAGAAAGGGGAAGGGCCAAGAACATAATCAAAGAAAGACTCAGGGACATTGAAGCCCAAAATGACTTTAATCAACTTCCGATAACTTATAAACCTCTATACAATCCCCAAAGGCCCTATCTCAAAGTTCTAGACAACGCTAAACACCGATGGGCATTTTCCAGGGCCCGCTTTAACGCTCTCCCTTCAGCTCTTCTAGAGGGAAGATACAATAAAATACCGATCGAACAAAGATTATGTCCCTGTAACAGCGATGAAATCGAAACCATTGGGCATGTCATCTTATACTGCCCATTATATCGAGACTCAAGAAAAGAGCTGATCAAGCCGATTCTGAGGAGAATACCTCGCAGTACAGACGACACCTATATCAGACACCTCTTAGCTGACAAAGAGCCCGAAATTAACAGGTCCGTGGCAAAGTACTGTTACATTGCAACAAGAATAAGACGAGCAATGATGTCAACAACGGAGTCCAAATTGTAAACATCGAAGGACGATAAAACAGTAGAGACACCTGAATTGAATTTTTAAAACCTTAAAAGTCGAAACCTGGCCATAAATATAAGCACCAATTCTGTGAATTGGCCATATTTCTACTGTTATTTGTAGCACAATACTACTTTTAATGTCATATTTTTTATAAATTGCTTCCTGGTCACTGACCGTATTAGAGATATTTGATTTGTATTTGTTTTTTATTTGTATATTTTAAAAACTGAATAAAAAAAGCAAAGAAAAACTTCACCTGGAATATTGTCATTTTAACTGTCGGCATTTTTATGCTAAAACCCAAAGCAACAAATAAAGTTTGGTATTTAATATAAGGGTAGTGGCGGTCTTTTGCAGGTGCCCTGCCAAACAGTTTAACAGGAATACAGAAATATGTTTTGATTGAGCAGGAAAATTACGCATACCTCCCAGGGCTGGAAGCTGGGGGAGGCTCCCAGGTGGAAAAGATCACCTTTTGTTGTGTGGAATAAGGGCCTAGAGTTAATTAAAAAGTCCTTCATCAGCATTTCCTTTTCTACTTCTCTCGTTTTCTTTTTCTTTTAAAACTTTAGTAAAAAAAGAAGAGAATTAGAGAGTGAGCTCCATCTTTGCTTCTCCAGCCACAGCCCTCAGAAGGGACCCTGGTCCCGAGATCAGCTTTCTCCCTTGCTACCCCTTCTGGCAGTGTGGTGCAGTGGTTAGACCGCTCTGCATGAAGCCCACGGGGTGCCCCCTGGGCAACTGACTAAGAAGTCAAAACGATGAACCGTTCATGGAAGACCCTTTTGCACTATTTGATAAAGTACCATCCATGCATGCAGGATTTTAGATGTGAGCAGCAGGAGAATGTCAGGTTATTACAAGAGCTAGACAAAACCACTTGCAGAGTCAAGCCTCCGCTTGCGTCCATCTCGCCGAACGTCCGCGGCAAACCTGGAAGTAACCGGCAGGTTTGCCGCGGTCCACACATGGACAGGCGTGGCGATTGCCGTTCGCGCATGCGCAGAAGCGGCGCCTCTACACGCGAGCAGCTTGAAGGCAGGGACGGACCTCCGGAACGGATTACGTTCGTTCCGAGAGGTTCCACTGTATTCATTAAAATCTTTTCTTCTGCACTGGCCACCAGCCAACTCCAGATGAACTTTCAAATCCGAGGAAAGTGCGTGTTGGGGTTGCGCCAACCTGAATTGGTCCAGGATACCTAATGCAATTGAAAGCGGGTGCTGCTGCCGCCCCATATCTAGGGGGCGATGATAGGCAGGGGCGCACTCGAGATATAAGTAACAATCAGACCTTGAAAAGTTGGCATCACTGGACCAAGTCCATCCATTTTGTTGAATTAAACTAAACAAACCAGGAATGGGGGATGTGAGCACAGACAAACTTGTGTCTAAGATATCATGTGTGGGTGTGATGCCTGTTTAAAACCCACTATTTAATTGCTGTGAAGTTGCTCTGAGCAACGCAGAATGCGCTGGAAAGGCAGGATATATATTCTGAATTGAAAAAATATTATTATTTACTTTTCCAGCCTTTTGCTATGCGCGCAGTCACTAAGGTGCGACGTGTGACCAACAGTCGCTTCTGTGATGAGAGAGGGAGCGCCGATAGGGAAGGGGGCACTGGAGACGTAACTATCAGACTTTGAAAAGTTGGCATCACTGGACCATGTCCATCCATTTTGTTGAATTAAACTGAATAGTTTTAATTATATATTGAATGAATATGCATTAATTGTTACTGTTTTGAATTTCATTGTGTTATTATCTTCCTTAGTGGGCTGTGCATCGTGAGTGTGGAGAAGGCCTCTCCCTCCTCAGGCTAATTCCACCTGGCCTAGGGGGCGAGGCCCAGGCTCACCTCCGTGATAGCTTTAAGGACACTGGTGCTGCTGCAGCAAATGTTAAAAATGTTATATATATATTTTAAGGTGTTTTAAAGGTGTTTTTATTGTTTACTTTGTTGTACCACCGTGAATGGTGGTTTTTATCTATGTATTTTTGTTTTGTTCCGTCTTGTTTTGTTTTGGGGTTGGACATTGAGTGGGGTGGGGATTGGTTTTGTTTGGGCATAATTGTTTTTGGTTGTTTTGTTTTTTTATTTTGTAAATGGAGGTTAGTATGAGGCTTGGGATTGCTACCGTGGAGGGGCCAGGGAGGTATGGCGGTGGGGGCAGATGTTATAGGCGAAGGGGATCGAGATACGGATATGCTCGTACCCCTTCCAATCTGCGCCCCATCCCGAGAGACGAGGGTAGGGTGAGCAAGGATTACTCACCTCCGTCACTGGTGTTGTGCAATGCCAGGTCTATAGGCAACAAAACCGCCACCCTGCGAGACTTCTTCACCTCGCAGGGGGTCGACCTGGCTTGTGTGACGGAGACCTGGGTGCGCGAAGGGGAAACTGTTACCTTACGAGAGATGGCGCCCCCGGGTTTCTCTGTCCTCCACCAGTCATGGACTGTGGGCCGGGGGGGAGGGGTGGCAGTATTAAACCGGGAAGATTGTCCTTTCAGGGCTCTACCATCCCCATCGATCCCCGGCATTGAATGTGTTGGCCTAGTGTGGGGC